CGCCGCGCCCGCGCCGCCGGGGTGCTGGCCTATGCCGCTGTTGGCGTGCTGCACGAGGAAGACCTCCACGCTCTCGCGGCTGCTGCGCAGGACGATCCTGTAGTGGCGCGCGTCCCCCACGGCGGAGCCCTCCGCGGGGTCGGGCATCTCGAGGGTCGTGCCCTTGGGCGCCTTGACCGCAAATATGGTGTCCTGCGGGGGTGCGCAACGCAACACCGCGGAACCCCTGGGGAAAAACTCAACAGCAATTGAGACCAATAAGCGACATGGTCAGGCCCTGAGCGCCACGATGCACTTGTATCGCGTGGCGTGCCGCCGCGGGCCACGCTCGCCGAGTCCTCAGGAACCCCTGGCGGTTCGGCTGGAATCCCTTCCTGCACCCAGGCCGTCCACCAGACGGTCGCTGCACGGCCCCCTGCCCCGCCCCCTCCCCCGCCCCCAGCGGCGCCACCCACGTGCGCGAAGCAGGGCAGCCCCGTGATGTCCTCGTCCGTCACAAACAGGTACGGCTTGTTGGCGGGGTGCTCAGTCATGCCGCGCAGCGCGTCCATCACAGACGCGATCTGGGCATCGAGCGCGCCCTCCTGGTCCTGCGGGCGCCCGCAACGCGCGCAGGGTGAAGCCACACGCGAAGGGATATCTGTCACCTGGGGCTCTTGGTGCTTGCGGCTGCGCCGGGGGGCGTATGCCCGCGCACGGCGGCGCCATTTCGGGGAGTGGGGATCGGGGCCGGAGCTCGTGACGAAAGGCGCGCCCGGGCAAGCCCCCATGCAAAGCGGAGGGGCGCGTGCTGGGCGTGCTGCGGGTGCTGGGCGCGCCGCGCACCCTGAGCATGGCCGTCTGCTGGTTCAGCGCGTCGAGCATCTCCTGCTGCGCGTCCGCGTCGGGCCCAGGCAGCACCGCGGGCTCCATCACCATGGGCTTCCACAAGATGTTGTTCTGAGGGGGGCGGGAGGGCGGGGGACAGAGGGTGTGTGTGAGTGCACTGGGTGTGTATTTGCTTGGATGTGTGCATATGTCTGTGTGTGCGTGTGTGTGTGTGTGTGTGTGTGTGTGTGTGTGTGAGAGAGAGAGCAGCCTAGCATGCGTGTCCCGCATGCCACGTGACGAGGCCCTCCAGCGGGTACGGCTTCCGTCCACAACCGCCGAGGCCAGCGGCTCGCGCAAGGACCAAGAGACCGGGCTCGTGCGAGGGGCGCGGCGTTCTTACGCAAGACGCGCACCACGCGCATGCGGTATGCGCGGCGCGCGCACCTTGGACTTCTTCTCTATGAGGCCGACGCCCTCCAGCACGTTGGTGATGTCGTAGATCCGACGCTTCTGGACCTGCGGGCCGGCAGGCAGGAGTGCGGGGACGACGGGGCCCTCAGCGCGGCGCGACGTGGTGCGGCGCGCATCCAGCTGGTGTTGCAGTAGAAGGGGCGGCCGGCGAGCCAAGGGCCCTGCGGGCGCGCTGTGCGGAGGGCGCCGGAGGGGCCGGGCGGCGCTTGCTGCAGCTGCGCAGTCC